CATTCAGAAGCTTCCCAATGCAAATCGGAAATTTGTTTAATTAATGCCATTCGGGTCTGGGAGCCTCAGCTTTACTATCATATATATATATATTCTGTATATGGCTCCCATGTTGCCGTAACGAAAATTCACGTTCAGACCCATTCGGATGCATTCAACCTGAAAAACACATCTGATTGGCCAGAAAAGTCACATGTCCCATTCAGTTTAGTTTTTGAATGAAATTTGGATGGGATCCGAAATTCGAAATTTGGACTTGGAATGAAACGAATCGTACATTTCTAAAAGAGAGACTTGTTTTTATTATAGGTGACAATCATTTGCTCAGTTTGGATTGTCCCGGTTTGGTGATCAGGGCCGGGTTTCCCACAAGGCCAACCAAGGCCCAGCCTCGGGGCAGCATATGTATCATTTTTGCTTCTCAGAACACTTTGCGATCACAGAAAACGAGGAGGAAAAGTTTAATTTTCAGTGAAATTTTATTTTCTTCATTCGCTCGGGTCATAACAAAATATAAAAAACACAAAACCGGCCGAGAGCCGGAAGAGGGATTTAGAAAACCGGAACGAGGCGCGTGTAAAAACAAAATATTCACCAAATCCGTTCATTTCACAGGAGAGAAAACGCGGAATAAAAGGACGAGTAAAAAAACAAGATAGTGTTGTGAAATCGGAAACAAACTTTCCCTTCATATCTTCACTCATCTCTACGAGAATACAGTAAAATGGTAACCATGGCGATGTGTTTTATAGAAACGCTTTGACTGAAGAACAATCGGTGTAGAAACTTGGTGGGAAGGGATGCCGGCTACATGTTTTATACAAGAAGAACCCAGAGGGACTTCAGGAGAAGTATGGGGTCAGTGTTTTTCCCCATAGTTCTCCTTAGGGTAACGGGAGGACACCAACTAGCGTCCTCCCGTCACCCTAGGCTCAGTATATAGGGAGCTACAGCTCGCGGTATACTGAGGCGCCGCAGCCGGAGCCAGCTGTACCCGCCCCCTCTCGTTCCGCCAGTCAGCGTTGGCAGATCGGAGCGGGGAATCCAGCCCCTCCCCCTGTCACGGCAGAGAGCCGTGACAGGATCGAGAGGTGAGCGAACCCGGTATGTGTTCGCTCACCTCCCGATCTACTGAGCCGACCTGTGACAGTCTCATTGTCACAGGTCGGCTAGAACTATGTGGTGAGTGGAAATCACTCCCCTCATAGTTCTCCTTTAACATTCTTCACCAATGTAACTTTATTGTTCTGGACAGACTGACATGGAGTCCCCACCTGGAACCTCCTCCACTGATGCATTTCACCAAACAGAGACGGTACTTCGTAGGCCCAGTCTCTTTGATGACACACATCAGAAGAGGAGGTCCGAGGTGGGGACTCTATGCCTGTTTGTCTGGAACAATAAAGTTGCACCTGCTTTGAATTCTGTTTTTCGTCTTGGAACTTCCGGCAGCTTGGGGTGTAGGATGAGCCCCTGCCTGGCTTTTGGCACCCAGCTTGCCTTGATGACGACTCAGTATTATGGACTAGTGAGTGGCCAATATATATTCCTTTACTGATGTTTTATACATTGTCTTTGGTTGGGATTTTTTTTATCTACATGCTCTTAGAGGACAGAAATCGTACTTGTATTTAAGGGGTCAGTCCATCCAAACCTGCAATTCTAGCTGGATAGACCCATCTCCCTCAGAGATCCCAGACATTGGGTTTTCCTGCCGAATGCCCTGCACTGGCTCCCGGATGGAGTCTTACTTCACCTGCTGCATCAAATAAAAGTTCAGCAGGAAGAGCAAAATCCTTCATAATGGCTGTGGGTGGGTGGAGCATTGTACGGTCACATGAGACTGATGGACCTCTGCACGCTGCATACGTTTTAGCTGGAGCTTTACAGGCTCTGCACTGCAATCTGCACCAGAACATTGCCATGGCAGAGTCTGAGCTCTTCAGTCATGTACTAGCATCATCAGGCGGAGCAGTTTAACACTGGATGTCGCTGCTCCATTCTTTATACAGCAGTTTCCAAGGACAACATGTGAATAACTCCACCAGATGGACAGTTATGGTTGAAGTGCACAGAAGGAAGACAAGAAAGCAATATATATATATATGTGATGCATTAGGAGCCAGCTCACATCTAGACAGTATATTCGGATAGAAACTTCCCTTATATCTAACCGTTCACGTAAGGTGCAAATTCCTGCCACAGATTTTGGCAATTTTCAACCAAAAACAGTCAAAGAACCATAAAAATCTACGAAAAACACCAAAAGCAATATCCACCATCAACCCAAAAATCTGCCTAAAAGGTTTACAGCATCGAAAACTGTACACACGTCAATACAGAACTACAATTTTAGGGGTTTTAAAGGGCCAGCCCGCGCGAATCTTGCGTTTTAAAATTTCGGGTGAACACTTCAAGCGGAAACTTTCGGCGGCTTCCTGTACAGCTCCTCTATGATAAATAAAAACACAAGAGGCACGGTCGGCCATCTTTGCAATGGGGGCGGAGCCGGGAACCCAGCCGCAGCGATCTTTCTGCCGGTTTGTCATTCAAGCAGCCAGCTGCAGCCTCCTCCTGCACCCAAAAACCTGAACTGTTCATACTTCCCCTTTAAACCCCCATCTTAGACATACACATTTCCTTAATAGTTATTATCACTGTACAAGGTAGGAGTGTCGCAGGCACTTCGGGAGATACATGTCGAGGTAATCGAAGCAATGACGCAGCATTCGGAACCGGATACAATTACACGAGCACAGAATTATTTACAGGGCGAGGAAAGACATTGGCTGGCCAAAAACTGCCCTATTCTCTATGCGGCCACAAGGGGGCGCTATACACATCATGCATATTTGCTGATAATACTGGAAAAGGGAATCCTCCTTCATATCAGTTCACAAATATCAAACCCGCACTTGTATATATCGACGGTCAGCCGCCAGAACCCACCGGGAAACATCAGACCCCCCCATTTCTGAAGGGCTATAAATACTTGTGTTATATCCCCCCCAACCATTGATTCTCATGGTAATCACTGACAGCAATCACCCCGTGAGGTTCTTACTACCCCCAGCTCTTTGATCTGAAGCTTCACAGCAGCACAGACAGAAAGGATTACAGCTTCAGTTCACCCGGGACTTTCCACCACCTCCTCCTCTGATATATCGGGCAGGAAGTGAAAACAAAAACCCAACAGAACCTCAGAATATTTAGAAGAAACAATGACAGAATGGACTTCATCAGAGGAACTGTGCTGGCTAATTAACGTGTCAATAAGTTGATTGCTGAAACGCGTCAGCCATGCTGGAGCCGACTTTTGTAGTTGTCTTTACTTTGTTACGCTACACCGGGTTAACATTTCGTTTTTCAACTCTGTAACTTTGTATCAACTACCTGCCTGATATACTGGAGACGTCGCATGAAGGCTGCGACACACTGCACGCGAAGCAGTGGCGCGCCGTGTCATTTTCTCTCCGGCGCGTCAGCTTGCGAGAGCTCGCCTAGCTGTGCGTGCCGAGATGAAAAATGTCATCTTCAGCCAATCGGCTCGCGCGTCACGATGTGAAGTCCAGCCGGTTATTTCGCGCGAGCCGATTGGGTGAAGGTGCCGTCATTCATCTGCCTGCACTCAGCTCAAACCCACCGTGCCTGACAGCTTTGCTCCGCTTCGTGCGCAGTGTGTCACAGGCTGAAGAGGATGAAAGGCGCTAGGATCGTTTATAGTAGGTGCCCAACATTTTTAATGTGCGTCTTTCACGGAGCTTAAACAGTGGGATGCAGCTGCTCTTCCCC